TCTTTGGATCTTGAGTTCACCAGAACTACCTAGTCATACTCTTGAAGTTAAACCCTAAAAGACACGCTCCCAGGCACCCTTTGAAAGCAGGAGTCGGAAATGCCCTGCAGTTGAATGGCTTGGGGCTTGTTTCCTAGACTTTGACACCAGGTTTGATACTCCCATTGGACACACACGGGGACACACCGACACACACATGCGTATGGGTGCTTGAACACTCAGGGCCTGGACATTATCTCTCAGCTTTTCCTGCTCCAGCCTGTAGCTCTACTACTTGAGCCACAACTCTATGTCCAGCTTTTTGGTAGTAGCCTGAGATAACTCACACCTCGGCCTCCCGAGTCACTACGATTATAGACAGGAGCCACTGGCCCCTGACTAGGACTTGGTTTTTGAACTTTTGAGTCAAGCAAGTGACAGGTGAGAACGAGGCCCCCAGTTTCTTAGCCCTTGAGAAGATTCAGAAAGCCAAACATGGACCCATGCAGCGCTCAGGAGGGCACCATCAGGGTCGGGGATACACTTGCCCGCACTTTGGCATCCAGATGCATCTTTTAAACGAAAACACATAAATCCAAATTCTTCATCAGAAATACTGATAAAGAATATCACAGGAATTCTGTTTTCCCCAAAAAGAAACACACCAAATGGTGTGCCTTAATAATATTTTTGTGCAGTATGTCAAAGGTTATTTTGGAAACACTGGCTTTGAGGCCTGACACCTATAATCCCAAAACTCAAGAGGTACGAATGCGAGGATCAGGAGTTTGAGGCCAGGCTGGGCTACATAGCGAGAAACTGAGTAAACTACTCAGAACCAAAAATAAAGGCAGGGTGGTAAAATAAAGGCACAGTAATCTGGATGGGCGCTGTCCCTGAGCTTTCTTGCTCAAGACTAGCGGTCTACCATTTGAGCCACTGCTCTATACTTAAAAGTTTTGGGGTGCTTCATTGGAGATAAGAGTCTCATGGACTTTCCTGCCTGGGTTGGCTTTGAACCTCGGTCCTCAGATCTCAGCCTCCTGAGTAGCTAGGATGACAGGCATGACTCACCAGTGCCCATCTTTAATTGGCTGTGGCTTTTGTTGTTGGTCAGTGCAGGGCTTGAACCCAGGGCTTGGCGCTGCCCCTGAGCCTCCTTGTGCTCAAGGATGGAGCTCTACCACTTAAGCCATGTCACCACTTCCCGTTTTGGACTGGTTAATTGGAGATAAAAGTCTCATAGTGACTTTTCTGCCTAGGCTGGTGTTGAACCACAATCCTCAGATCTCAATCTCATGAGTAGCTAGGATTACAGGTGTGAGGCACCCAGCTAATTACTTTTAATGACCCATTTGTAACCAAGATGTCTGTCAAAAAAATACATATATGCACACACACACACACACACACACACACACACACACACATATGTATACATACAGATAGAAAAAAAAATCCTTCAAACTGGAAGGATGTACTTTTCTTTTTTTTTTGGGTCCAGTCCTGGGGCCTGAACTCTGGGCCTGGGTGCTGTCCCTCAGCTCTTCAGCTCAAGGCTAGCGCTCCACCACTTGAGCCAAAGCGCCACTTCCGGCTTTTTTCTTTTTGCTTATGTGGTGCTGAGGAATTGAACCCAGGGCCTCATGCATGCAAGGCAAGCGCTCTACCACTGAGCCATCTTCCCAGCCCGGAAGGATGTACTTTTCATAGACAGGAAGTCAACAGCATATCCATGCCTAGACTTATCAATATACAACTTCAGAAAACTAGGATAATTCTGGACACTGGCGGCTCATGCCTATGATCCTAGCTACTCAGGCAGCTGTGCTGAGGATTAGCTTGAAAGCCAGCCAGAGCAGGAGATAAGTTATCTCCAATTAACCATCAAAAACCAGAAAGAGCTGTGGCTCAACGTGGTAGAGTACAAGCCTTGAGCAAAAAAAAGTTCAACAATGTCCAGGCCTGAGTTCAAGCCCCACAACTAACAAGGAAGGAAGCAAGCAAACAAACAAGCAGGCTAGGATAAAACTCCCAAAAGCAATTAGAAAAAAAATGGGAAAAAAAGGCAACTACAAAAAAGTAACATTAAACAAACACTAACACCACTGAATGTTAGAAGACAACAGAGCAAAAGTACTGATACAAAATGACAAAACAGTATTCTATGTCCAGCCCAGCGATCAAGCAAACATTAGACAAAACAGTTATTTTGAGACCTACGGTCTCTTATTTGTGAAACACAATTGCCTGCCATTCTTTCTGAAAAAGTTACTAAAAGATGTTCTCCAGCAAAAGGAAGAAATGTGATCCAGAGTGAGAATCCAAAATGTGACTAAAATGAGGTAGGTTCCAAGGATGTCAGTGCACAAATGTCTTAAGAGCAGAGTTCAAGGGAAGCCAATTCATAACAGATATATGGTCAGCGCTAAGACCAATGGGAAAATACTTAGACCTGTATAAAAATGTAACAATGAAATCCCCTTCTGTATAACTAATGTTGCTAATTAAAGAAAGATATTATGGCTACAAGTCTTCAGAAAGTTTCAGATATGTTGAAGGCAGACTTTTATTTAATCAGCAAAAAAAAAAAAAAAGGCTATTTAGGAACAAACCTAAGCAACAAAGTTTCTAAACAGGAATTAAGCTGAAATGTGGCATGTTTCAAGCAACTGATGATATGTTAGAAAACACATTTGATCCTTGTAATAGGAAGATACCGACTGTAACACAGACCTACATATAATACTCAGACTCTCACTTGATACTTCAGAGATCTTCAACTGTCAATCCCTACAGTCTGTTATAATGTTTTATTTCCACTCCCATCGCATCAGATAAACCTAACTTATACCACATAGACTGACCTATCTATCACTGATAAGAATACATTCTTCTCTTTGTAATCCTGATGAAACCAGCCTGTGATTTCTAATCAGTAACATTTACAACTATCATCCGCCAGGTGGCAGCCTGGGGAAGCAGTTGGCGCACATCTGCAAAGACTATTAGAAAACAGCATGAAAACGCTCCGATCACCATACTCAAAACGGTTTTTATTCCCTTGCCAGGTATCCCTGGCTTGGCATTCTCAACACCTGGGGCTTTAATTTCTCCAACCTCTGTATCTCCCCCATTTGCAAGTGAGGGGTACAAACCAGATACTTGATCTGTGTCACATTTTAACATCTCTAAAATTGGAAGAGCTCCAGAAGAGGACTGGATTTGATGTTTCCTTCTTAGTAACACACGTAACAGTGCCAAATCTTTTTTTCTCTTTTTGGCAGTACTTAAGTTTGAACTCGGGACTCAAGCAGGCTCACTCAGCTTGCTCGCTAACATCTGCCACTCTATCACTTCAGCCACATGTCCAGTCCTAAGTCTCATGGATATTTTTTTGCCTGGGCTGGCTTTGAACCTCAAAACCCTGAGTCTCAGCCTCCTGAATAGCTAGGATTATAGGTATATGTCACAAATGATGCTAGGTTTATAACCAATGACATATTTGAAACTTTTCAAAAAAATTATAGAAAGACAGAGACAACATAAATTGACCCTCTATTTCAAAAGGTAATCACTGACTCATAGAAAAGTAGAACACAACTGGCAACTCAGAGAAAGGTGACCCATCTCACAAAGAATTTCCAAGTACAAGCACCCATGGGTCGGTGCCTGGGGGTGCAGGAAGACCACAGGAACGTAAGCGGGCCTGTAAGTCTCAGCACTAACGAAGCAGACAGGAGGACTGTTGGTGTCCAAGACTGAGACCAGATTTGGGGCATAAAGGGCGGGGTCGGGGATCAAAAATAAGTAACAGCCAAGTGCCAGTGGCTCAGGCCTGCAATCCTAGCTACTTCAGAAGCTGAGACCTGAGGATCACTAGCCTTGGGTCTGGGTGCTCAGGGACAGCACCCAGACCCAAGACTGGAACAAAAGAAAGGGAGCGAGGGAGGGAGGGAGGGAAGCCATCAAGCAGGGAGGCAAGCAGTTTTTGAGTTATAAATGTAAATACCCAAAAAAGAAAACAAAAACCTATATCCCTGTGTCCTCAAAAACAGGAACAAAACTTGTGAGTGAGTGCATGTCTGTAGTCCCAGCTACTCTGACGGCTGAAGTAGGAACAATGCATGGAAGCCTCATCTTAAAAACCAAAGGCTGGCACTGATATCACACACCTGTAATCCTAGCTACTCAGGAAGATGGTCCGAAGTCAGCCTAGGCAGGAAAAGTCCCTGAGACTCTCATCTCTAGCTAGCCACCAAAAAGCCGGCAGTGGAGCTGCGGTTCAAGTGGTGGAGCGCCAGCTTTGGGCAGAAAAAGGCCAAGCAAAGGCGCAGGGCCCTGAGTTCACAGCCTGGGAGTGGTGCGCACACGCGGGGGGCGGAGGTCGCGATTCTCCCGGCCGGGCGGCCTTGAGCACGTTTTTTAGCCACAGGCACCTTTGGAGGGAACTAACCACTCAGCCCCGCGGCCGCCGCGGGCGCCGGGGAGGACGACACGGACACGGGGCGCGCGCGGTGAACGCCCCGCGGGGAACCCCTGGCCGCCCGGCGGTGGGCCCGGGGCTCACGGCTCGGTTACGCGCGGTCCCCGATCGAAGTCCCCGCCCGCCGGGGTCGGGGTCCGGCGGGGAGCGGAAGCACCCGGGGCTCCCGGGCCGGGGGGCGCACGGAGATCGGGGGGCCGCGACGGCCGCCTCAGGCCCCGCCCTCCCCCCCGCCCCGTCCCGGGCCCGCGCAGCGCGGCCGCAGATGTCTCCGGGCGCGGACCGAGCGCGCCGAGGCCCGGCCAACCCCGGAGAAGCGGCGGCGGCGGCGGGCTCGGGCCTCCCCTCCCCGCCCCTCCCGCCCTCCCCGCCTCTCCCCGCCCTCCGCGGCCCATTCATTCTCCGGCGGGCGGGCGGCGGCGCGCAGCCCCGCCGTCCAGCGCCCGAAACCCACCGCAGGGCTTTGTCTCCTCCCGGCCGGAAGCGGGGCGCACGCGGGCGCCCCGGCCCCCTCCCCCGCGCCCGCGGCGCCCACCTGAGCAGCAGCTGGTCGTGCTCCGCCTTGCCCTTGCCCAGCTCGATCTGCAGCCGCGCGCGCTCGCGGGCCGTGTCGTCGAGCGCGCGGCGCGCGTCGGCCAGCTCGGCCTCGTAGAGCGCCTTGAGCCCGGTGAGCTCGCGGCCGCGCACCTCCTCGCGCTCGCTCGCCTGCAGCTGCAGCGCGCTGTTCTCCGTCTCCAGGCTGCGCACCTTGTCGATGTACACGGCCAGCCGGTCGTTCAGCTCCCGCAGCTCCTCCTTCTCCTGCAGCCGCGACAGCCGCGTGGGGCTCAGCGGCGTGGCGGGCGCGCCGGCGCGGCTGCCCGAGCGCGGCGGCACGGGGGTCGCGGTCGCCATGGCGGAGGGGCGGGCGATCGGCGGGGTCCCGGCGGGCGATCGGCGGGCGCTCGGCGGGGTCCGGGCGGGCGGGCGCGGGGAGGGCCGCCGGGGCCGAGCCGCGGTCCGAGGCACCGGCCGGCGCGGCGCGCGCGGAGCCGCACCTGGATGGCGGCGGCGGGGCGGCCGCACAAAGGGCACCGGGGAGGACCGCGAGCCGCGCGATCGGGGGCGGATGCCCCGGGTGGAAGCCCGCGCGAACACGCGCGCGCGCGGGGAGGACGCGGAGCGAGGCCGGCGGAGCCGAGCGGGGAGCGCGCCGCCGAGTCTCCCGCCCGCAGCACTTTGTTTCCTCTCCGACGGCGCCGGGCGGCGGGCGGGGGCGGGGGAGCGCCGCGCGGGGGGCGGGGGAGCCGAGGGGCGCGGGCCGCACGGCCCAACATGGCGGGCCCACGTGACCGCGCTGGCCAATGAGGAGCGGGCGGAGCGCCGCGGGGGCCCGGCGGCCCGGCCTGAAAATTCAAATTCAACCGTCGGCCGCGCGGGCCGGGCCGGGCGTGGTCGGAGAGGGGCCGGGAGGGGCGCGCGGGACGGCTCGGCTGCGGCCCGGAGCCCAACGCCCGCCGGGCTTCGCACCGCCCCCCTGTGGGGGGGGGGGGAGAACCCTCAAGGGGCGGGGCCGGCGAGTGGCGGGAAAGCGCTGGAGGCTTCCGGGGCGGGGCCGCGCCGCCGCGGGACTCGGGTGCGGGGAAATTCAAATGTAAACGCGGGCGGGCGGGCGGCGATCGCGGCCGCGGGGCTCCGGGGTCCAGCCCCAGCCAGCCCACCTCGCAGATGGCCCGGCAGCCTGGCCGTGGGCGGCTTCGCGGCCGGCCTGCGGGCTTCCGATCCCGCCCGGCGGCCGGGATGGAGTCGGACCGTGGCGGTGCGCACATGCGCACGGGTGGAAAGGGCAGCCCCCTCCCCCCCCCCCCCCACTGGAGCAGGGGTCCTGGCGGAAAGTTCACCGATCCTTCCAAGCTCATGGACGGGGCTGACCTTGCCTCTGGGTGGGCAGTCTCTCCCCACCACCCACCCCCGGCTTTGTGGGGAAACTGAGTCACCGTTTCCTTAACGCTACGGAGCAGGTGATGGCTGCGGGGTTTCAATGAGCAGGCCGGCTACGGTGTAGAAGGCCTCCTCACACACCTAGGAATACACCTGTGCAGTAAGTACAGGTCGCTCCTCATAGGAGACCTGGGCCGGGTGGCCTTTAAAGGTCCATCAAGGCGTGTGCAGGCGTCTAGTGAAGGGCAGCAGGCCTCCTCTTCTAGCAGTGGCGCTAGTTCCGATCCGGTTCCCTGACCTCCCTTACCTGCTAGAGAATTAAGACTTGAAAAGCTTAGATTTTTAAACTCGGCGTTTGGCATTTGTAAGTATTTAAGTAGTCGGTAGAAGGATCTCAGTAAAGACATCTTTATGTCAATAAAAAAATCTTTAAAAATCCAAATTATTGATAAGGAAATGAGGCTTCAACAGGGCAAGGTCGTAACAGCAGTGACTATTTTACACTTCCCAAAAGGGAGATGTCTTCAGCAGGATTGGGCAGTTTTATGGGGAAAATGAATCAAGCAGCCTTGATCACAGGATTTTAATTCCTTACTCCCATTTACTTCTCTAACATCAAAATAAGATTTGGATATTTCCTTTAAAATGATGTCCCCGGACTGGGAAGGTGACTCATTAGTGGAGTGCTTGCCTTGCATGCATGAGGCCCTGGGTTCCATTCCTCAGCACCACATAAGCAGAAAAAGCCGGAAGTGGCGCTGTGGCTCAAGCGGTAGAGCGTTAGCCTTGAGCTGAAGAGCTGAAGTACAGCGCCCAGACCCAGAGTTCAGGTCCACGACAGGCAAAAAATAAATAAAAATAAAATGATGTCCTCTTTTTGAGATTTTAAGACTGAAGTGATACTAACCTTGACCTTTTATTGCTCTCAACACCATGTAGTTTTCTCTGGATAGAGTCAACCTAAGAGATTCATTTAGGAGATACATTCTATCCCCCTATCTGAAACCACCATATGGGAATCCAGCCTTTGAGAATTTGCTACTGACAACCGGGTAACTCCAGTTATACATTCTATAGTGTTATCTTAGAAGCATGGGATGACTCTCACTTTACTGGAAATTATAAGGATTAAATTGAATATTATATGAAAGGAGTTGGACATAGATTATGCATTGGAGCTGAATGAATAACTGATGCTAATGGTAATTTTGTTTCCTAAGTACAGAAGGTTTTTAGCTTAGATTTAGGCATTTATACATATTTTTGGTTGGATACCTATTATTCTCTTGACTTTTTCCATACCCAGTTATGCCTATTTCATCCCCCGATGGTGTATGTATTCCAGTCCTGCAGCTTGAACTTAGGGCCAGGGTACTCTAAATTAGTTTTTTGTTTTTTGTTTTTTTTGGGGGGGGGAGGTTGGTTGTTTTGTGGGGTTTTTTTTGTTTTGTTTTTTTGCTCAAGGATGGTGTTCTACCATGTGAGCAAATAACCCTACTTCTTGCTTTTTGTTGGTTAATTGGAGACTTTTCTCCCTGGGCTGGCTTCAAACCACAGTCCTTAGATTTCAGCCTCCTAAGTAACTAGTATCAGTAGCTTGAGCCACCGACTCCAGGCTCTTTTTGCTAAATTTGTTCATCCTTCATGTTTTCTAAAGTCCCAATCACCCTTATGTAAGTTTTTGAAAATATTTCTTCATTGCCCAGTGTAACTGTGTCAAGCATCCTGTCTAGTTTTCCCTGTAAACCTTCACTTACCTGTCAGGGCACAGGTCCTAATTATTGGTCAGGTGGTACTTAGTTGCATCAAGCTTGAAGGAGCCATGTCATCGAATCCTCCTGTATTCCTGCCATAATGACAACCGCCGCACTAAATAGAGAAACTTCACTGATACCTGCTTCAACTCTTGAGTCATTTGGATTGGGAAAAATATAGGCTATGCCAAATGCCAATGGCTCACACCTATAATCCTAGCTACTCAGGAGCCTGAGATCTGAGGATCACGGTTCAAGGCCAGCCCAGGCAGGAAAGTCTGTGAGACTCTTTATCTCCAATTAATCACCAGAAAAATCAGAAGTAGTGCTGTGGTTCACAGTGGTAAAGTGCTAACCTTGAGCAGAAAAGCTCAGGGAGAGTGCCCAGCCCAAGTTCAAGTCCCAAGACCAGCAACAATAACAAAAAGATCTGACAAGATTCACAGTTTAAAAGTGGATTAGGGGGATACAGAGCGGAGCATGTATCATTCACATAGCAAACTTTGTGTTTGGAATCATCTCAAACCTTATTACACACATCCAAGCTCATGGGCGTTAGGGGAAAGAAATAAGCTATATAATCTTTTCTGGCCTAAATGTCTTCAAGAATTGCAACATTAAAAAAAAGATAGAAATGTGAAGAAGTTTAATGTCTAAAAAGCCATTGTCATTTGCTCTCTCATAAATGCATGCAGTTATTCAACAAACATTTGATGAGGATTTATGCACCAAGCAAGAAAAAAAACGAGTTTTTTCGGGGCCGGGAAGGTGGCTCAGTGGTAGAGCGCTTGCCTTGCATGCATGAGGCCCTGGGTTCGATTCCTCAGCACCACATAAGCAAAAAGAAAAAAGCTGGAAGTGGCGCTGTGGCTCAAGTGGTAGAGCGCTAGCCTTGAGCTGAAGAGCTGAGGGACAGCGCCCAGGCCCAGAGTTCAGGCCCACGACCAGACCCACAAACAAAAAAGAGAAAAACTGAGTTTTATGTAATACCTGCTTTGAGAAGCTCAACAGCCCACCTTTGGACAAGTGAACAGATATATTAAAAAAAAGTATGCCTCAAAGTGTGAAGTGCTAAAAAGACATGAGTGAAGTAGTGTCCTGAGCATTCCAACCAATGGGAAAGTCCACGTGTAGGGGAAGGAGGGAGCAGAAAAGACCATCTGCGTCTCCGGGGACTGACAAATGGATTCTGAACCTTGTGGAGACCTGAAACTGGCAACTCAACATCCCCAGAGAGAATTAGAGGGAACTCTCAGCTGGAATCCCTAATCTCCTTATGTTGTGCTTTTTATTTTAAACAGTCTACAGAAGGAGTGCCATAAGCTAAGAAATAACTGTACCAGACGGGGGAGAAGATTTTATTCAACTACCTTAACCTTAGGCCTGGTCAAGAAAAAAAAAAATGGAAAATTGATGAAACTACTGTATAATTAAAACAAATAAATTACTTAAGCTGAGTTGTGAAAGAATAATTATCTCTTATCTAAAACAATCATAGAAAACAGGAAATGTCATTTAATAAGCAAAGCATAAAGGAAAGAGAGTTTTCAAGTATAAGAAATAGTTCCTTCACTCCATGTTTCTTTTCCTGATTTCAATTGTTTCTTTTCCTGTGGAAATGAAATATATCCATGTGCATAAGTAGATTAAGCCACGAGGCATAAATTACAACGGCCTGAAGGAGTGACGGATAACAAGTATCGCACCACTAGGGCCGCTGCAATTGTGTAATGAAGAAAAAAGTCACTTCAGTCAGGACCACATGAGAGAGCATTCTAGAAGAAAAAAATGTGAACTAGACCTCACAGTGGGGGAAGATCACTTCAAATCAGCTTCACAGGTTTTCCAGGAAAAGAGCTATGACATAACGTGAGATTGCTGCATTTTATATGGAATGCATTAGGCACATGGAATATAGTGTGAATATTGGAAACTGGTTAATGAGTTCGCCTTGTTGCTGTGACAAATATCTGAAACAACCTATGTTGTTGTTCACGGACCCTAAGGCTTCCGTCTATCATCAGCAGATGCCATTGCCGTGGGCCTGAAGTGTCCTCTGTGGAGGACAGAAAGCAAAGATAGCAGGAAGAGGTTAGAGAGGCAAGATCTATACTCTGCACAAGCCCACCTCAGACACCCACTTCTTCCCACCTCCCCATTGTTCATGCAACTATGAATTCATCAGTGGGCTGACACTGTGATCCAGTTGTCTGTGATCCACCCCTC